TTTATTTCCTTGTCTGGTGCGGGTAATACATGCGTGCATTAGGCGAGTGGGCCGATGGCTCCTAATATCGTGGGCCTTGTTGTTGCAGGTGCAAAAGAAATCCCAATGGCTGCTTGACGTGGCACTACGAGAGCCGTTGGATTTTTAGCGTTCTGGAGCGTCATATTCAATAATAAGGAAAATTAAATGGTCATGATAAATCCAATCGTTAAAATGCAAAAAAAAAAAAAAAAAAAAAAAAGGGTGGGGGGAGGGAAAAGAATTTTGATAGTTTTTTATTCTATAATATCCAATCCTCTTTTTAATTTGCATTTAATTATGCTTGTTGTAATGTGACGCTTTCTTTTTTGTATTTGAAATTAAACTATCATAGGTAAACATAGATCTTTATTTTCAAAGAACAAACTTATAAAGTTCATACTTAAACACACTTACAAGGCATAAAAAAAAATAAAATAAAATAAAAAAATAAAAAAAAAAGATATTTGTGAATAGTACTCGCCTTTACCCAAACCCAGTAGGTGGAGTTGCATAAGGGGACTCACCTTTTAGAGGGCAATTTAAACGCTCTTGTCTTTGCCTTGTCATTACCCTTCTAAGAACACTTTCGCTGTGGGCTATAGCCTTGTTAATAGGCAACCTAATCCATTCTCTCTCCCTCTAAAACACTCCAACTCATTCGGGTAATTGGGCTCAAGGCGAGCCCGAGGACTCAATCAGGCGAAATTCCACGGGCCTGGCACCTAATCCATGTAATTGCCGTCAGCCTCAATTTAAATTTTTAAAAAATAACAAAAATTATTTAAAAATTATAAAAATACAGAAAAATATTTTAAAAAAATGTATAATTTTTTTTTCTAATATACCTAACTATGCTCATCCGCCTTTGGTTAAAATATCATATCCGAAATTAAAAATAAAATTATTTTTAATTATTTTATAAAATAAAAATTACTAATATTTTAATACAAATTGTTTGGGCTATTCTGTCTAGGGGTAGAGATGCACTTTTGTAGTTACTGTTCACTATATGCAGTTTATATTCATTCAAGACGATTGAGTTGCCTATTGTCCAAAGGGGCCTTGCTACTACTAGGAACTACTCTAAAAGCAAGTCCACTCATTTTAGGATTGTAAAGGCAAAACAAGGGAAAGGGCATGCAAATTGCCTTCTGAAATATGAATGCATTTGTGCAACTCCACCATTGAGCTTCGACAATGACAAGGACGATTATAAATACCGAAGCTCCTCACCCTGCCTTTTGGGTCTTGGATGGACTTGCTTTAATGAAGATGAAAAATCTATAAATACCACAACTATTCATACTTTAAACCAACCTTAATTGGGGGAAGAATATTCAAACCATATTATTCTCATGGGCTTCTTTTATCCTATTTGCAAGGACTGAAGTAAACTACAATTTAAAATTCAGAGAAGCTAAATTTGTTAAAACATAAAGTACATTTTAAAATTCTTATCAAAATTCTTTAAAAGCAAATTTTAGGGTGATGTATTGTATATGGAGCTTGATGGACTTTGCTTGACTCTGAAATTCAGATGTATTCAATATATACATTTAAGAAGACAATAACAATCACCTTGTATAGCCACTTTGTACTATGGTCTAATTGTATTCCTCTTCACTTATAAGTCAGAGGTCTTAGGTTTGATTATCTCCAAAGACGAATTTGAACAATATTATTGCTAGCTCATTGTGAGGCTTAGCCCACTCCTCACTCCCTAGTGTAGATAATATCGTTTGTTAAAAAAAAAAAAATCACCCAGTATTAAATAAAGAGTTTTTATGATTTCTAAAAGGATAATGTTAGGGAGACTAAATTTGTAGATAAACTTTGGAAAATTAAAGGATATGGAAGTTGATGATTAGTTTATTACTTAAGTGTTGATAAACGTGCTTGTTTTTATTGGTGACACATCATTTAGTTTGCAAATTTTGTTTACAAATTTAATCTCCTCAACATTATCCCTTCTAAAAAGTCTATAAAAATCTTGTGGTATTCAATTATGTTATTTTTTTTTTTTGTCTACAAAAATCTAGTTGTATTCAAAATTTCATTGAATTTAAGGATTTTAATACGTCATGGATTTTGATAAACTTGTTTTGCTTTTAATGTAAGATTTTGATGGATTTCATTGTTTCTCAATTCTCCAATGATAAACTACACTACTCACCATTACGCAATAACTATTGTTATTATCACTTTCATCACCATGCCACCACCACCGTCTTACCATGACTACCCTCCATCCCCACAACCTCTATTGTCACCATGGGCACCACCATCACTGCCATGGGCATAAAGCGCCAACCTTACTATGACCACCACTAACACCACCTGGCTGTCACCTTTACCACCATCGTCACCACCTCCCCCATCCGTACTCCTCCAACATCCCACCACCACAATTAATCACGACCCCTACTATTATTGCTGCCACTAAAGACATTGACTTTAATACCACCATCTTGCTGACAATCACCACGTGATACTTCCACCACCATTGTTGTCACCACCAGACTACTTTCGTCCTCACCACATTTTATTAGTAAAACAATAATGCTTATTAATAAATTGGTCATTAAAATGTATAGAATTTTAAAACATTCTAGCATCAAACTCTCTAGAATTCTGCAAAAGTATATCATTAAACTTGTATAGAGTTCATAATAGTCAGTAAAAGTTTACTAAGTTATTAAAAGTCCATCACTTTAAAAACTCAACAATAGTCCATATAAATCTTAATATACTACACCCTTTAATTTAATAATTATGTAGTTTTTATACATTCATTTAAAATTACAATTAAATACACCTGAATTTTTATGTACTTCTATAAACTCTTTAAAATTTTTGACTGAATACTCTTGAATTTTTCAACTTTTCTACATCCTATAAAAGTTTCAAGTGAATACACCGCCTTTAAGTACTCAAATCTATGTCTAATTGATCTTATCGCTTATCCCAAATCCACTTGGGGCCAATTCATCCAAGGTGGCGTCCATTGGACCGATAACGAATGCAATCAGCAGCATCAGCCTAGCTAGCTAGCTAAAGACTCCACCCAATAATCTTTCTAGTTTACCTCAGCTGACATCAACTGTCAGAGACGGTGGCAGTTCTACTTAATTTGCATGGGATTAGAATGGCAACCACATCACTATTGCATTGGATTTAGATCTCATTAAGATCAGGAAGGAGCTGTTACTTTTTGGATCCCTGGTTTTTTAATTAAGCCTCATCATCTGCATGGCCAAATATGTATGGCAGGCTTGGACTTATATGATATGTAGTGATATCCAGGCAACTGAAAAACGACAACTCTCACACGTAGAAATTATATATAACACGACAACTGATTACATAACAATGATATGTCCACCACCTCATCCACTGAGTTAATCGGAAAAAAAAAAATGCTTATAACTAACAGACTTTAATCTGTATCTATAACAAGTATGCTCTTGGACTGTGTAGATAGCTCTGATAGGGAGCAAACATGTGAGCTTTAGTATCAACGCGTCATTTACATTTTCCCTCTTTTGATACAGTGAATCTGCAGTTGATAAAGTTATGCTGACAAATGAAAGCAAAAGTGGAGAATTCCACTCAAAGATTTTTAAGAGATTGCAGGAAGTTGGATCTCAAATGTGTCAGCCATCATTAATAGGAGCAAAATCTCTCTCATCTGGTTTCGACGGGATTGATACCATGCATCTACGTCCTGCAATTGAGGAAAGGTGAGTGATACAGTGATACTTTTCCCTTAACAAATTGAATATTAGGCATTTAAGTTATAAGCTGTTTTGGATAATCCTCAACAGGGTGGTTACTAATGATCATGATGCACAAATTGGAAGCAAATTGCATAATCCTCCCCTGTTAGTTGATAAAGAAACAAAAGCCAAACATGTAATATCGGGAAGGTAATGTAAAAATTTAGTATTATCAGCTGATGACTCTAGGCACAATATTCCAGTAATCTTTTTGTTTTGAATACATAGATTTGTAAACTTTTTACACTGAAATCGTATTATTTTGAATCACTCAAACAATAAATGACGCCATTTTAGTTCGTAGAAAATACTATAAAGCTATTGATGATGCTAAATAGCAGTGTCCCTTCCTTTGTAATCATCAACAGAGAGGACCTCAAGTCTGATGGTGTACCAAACAGGGCCAAACTGGTTCGCAATTCACGGCTGTCTGACAAAGAAGTAACAGAAAGGGAACCTGTCCTGGGAAGTGGACTGAGAAAAAGTCTTCATGATCCAAGGTAAGGCATTTATAAAAGACCTTGTTCCATCTTGTACTTTACTTTGTATATCTTATCATTAAGAATGTGGCTCTTTTGACTGATGTTCTTATGCAAAGATGTGACTCTGCTTATTCTCATGCACATGACAATTTATTTTGTACACTGTTCAGCAACATTATCAATGGTCCACAGGACCTTCTAGTGAAACATCTGATTGTCAATATATGTACTTAGGCATGTGAATATTTCTAGTGGTCAAGCAAATCCTTCCAACGCAATTGAGAAGACTATAAAACCTATGCCCAGACATGTGTAAATCCTAAATCTATGCTTTCAAGCCTGGAGTCTATGAGGAACACAAAGGTCATTACAGCTGAAGGGAGTAAACTTTGTCCTGATAAACTTGCCCATGAAGAAAACCGACCTTTCTACCTTGAACATTTCAAAGTATGGTGCGAGTGTAATTATTCCTATTCTTCAGTTGTTTTCTATGCAGAAATGTTTTGATTGTGATGTTGAATGTTTTGATGTTTCTAAATGTAGGAATATTGGTGGCAGTAAAGTTTCATCGAATGCTTCCCAGAGGAGTCCACAGCAAAACATGGAAGTGCAATGAAATGTGGAATCAAAGACGGCCCAGATTGTTCATCGCAGTGAGAAACAAAAGCCACCAAACTTTTCCTTGAAGCGAAAAACATTTGAGGTCTTCTATTATTAACCCATTCCTTTAACTCCCGAGTTCTCTTTGGAATGATATCATGACTTTAGCATTCTTATTTGAAGCTCTGTTCTATTCTATCCAAATGATTTGTGAAAATTTTATTTAACTTTCTCGATTTCTTACACGAAGCTATTTTGCAGGGATCTGCAGATATGTGTTTAACTTATTGTTCTGAATCTTTTTCCAGCCTATTACTATTTACGTGTTCTAAAGTGGTTTACTGGAAATCTGCTGACATCTCACATTCTTTTTCCAATAATACGTGCAGAAACTTCAAAGAACCTTCAAAAGAAGTGGTTGCAGAACAGGTTCTTGGCTAACTCTATAGTATTAATGATTTATAATGACTACTAAGTGTGTCTATGAAGTGAATTATAGGTGGGAGCCTGTACTAGATAAACTTACTAAAATATTCTTTACGTTTTCGCTAGGTTTGCATTCATGATAGTTATGTGGAGAGCAAGACTAACAGCACTTTTGATGACCATCGGACCTCTGAACTCGGTAGTCCTTGTGGGATCATTGTGATGGAACTCGATATTCCTTCAGTAATGGAAAATGATGGAAATGTTGAAAAGGCTGAAGCGTACGCTAAGGAGCTTGAAGATGTGAGTAAATTATCACTACTTTTACTGTAACACTGTGTGCATTATAAATAGAAATAGGACTGCAAGGCATCATTATCTTCTGTCATAATTTGAGTATATAGCGCCATTTCGAGTGATTGTGCATCGCCAATTATCTTCCTTGCAGATATGCAACGTGCTGAGAAAGAAACACGAGGAAGCCAAGGAACTGCAAGTTAGAGCTATTGTGAACAACAATAATCTATTGATGCTTAACCATCCCATTTACGAAGCAAAGATATCCTTCAGACTGTTTTAGATGTTAATTTCCTGGTTTTCTGTCTACCGTTTTGATCATTGAGATAAAGTTGCATTTTCCTTAATAATTAAACACATTCATAAAGTTCAGAAATTTGCCGCAAAACTGGTGTTCAAGGAGCTTCACACATGTTCAAGATCGCCCACAGTTGTTATATAAAAAAAGCTTCTTATATGCAATGACAGGTTGGGTTGCCTTATTTTTCTTTACAAACTTAAAGTAGTGCATGTAAAACTGTGGTTATACTGTTATAGCGATGATTTACTATGTTGTTTGAATATCAGGATCGTGTTTTGCTTTCTATTCAGACAACAAGAATCCACTACACGAAGGATCATCTGAAACCTAAATGCGACGCTTCAGAGTTGAATCAAGCCTTGAGTTTACAACTTCTTACTAGCATATTACAAGCTGTTCTTCTGTAGTCGGACTGCCGGTTCTTCAGAAGCTAGCATGAGTTGGGCATCTCTCTTTCATATTTTCCTTCCTAAATATATATACTATGTTCTTATTTGGACGCAATCAGGTTTCTGACTTGATTCTGTATATAAATCTCCCGTCTGAAGTTCGTATATACAGGTGTTCTGGTTATATTTCTTCCTAATTACTTCTAAATTACCATTGGCATCTAAATGATAAGGTCATGAAAGATCGATCACTTTGTAAACCATAGCTTCCTTCTATCCCCATTCTTAATGTAAATGGTATTGTCTTCTTTCTAGTCTAGAAGGCTTCATTGCCACTCCCCAATTTATTTGAAGGCACTTCTATGTCGAAAACACCCACTACATAATGTAAAATTCATGTAATAACTCTAAAAAGGAAAACTAATGAAAATGGTTTGAAAACTTTGAGTTTTAACAATAAGGACAAAATAAAAAGTAAAGTGAATAGTACCAGGATTGACTTTTTAGTGTAAAAATGTGGTTGTTCGTTTATTTGAAGGCACTTCTATGCCGAAAACACTCACTACATAATTTACAATTCATGTAATAACTCTAAAAAGGAAAACTAATAAAAATAGCTTGAAAACTTTGAGTTTTAACCATAAGGACAAAATAAAGGGTAAAGTGAATAGTATCAAGATTGACTTTTTAATGTAAAAATGTGGTTTTTCGTTAAAATAAATAGTACGGGATTTTTTCGTTAAAGTTCCCTAACTAAAATCACCTACCCAACTTATCTGAGACGCCTGTAGCAATTATCCACCAATTATTGAAAAATATATTACAGGACTCAATACATAGATTGTTTTAGCTCGTGAACTCCTCTCCAAACCTGTGAATTCCCAAAATAAAATGACGATGACACTGAAGTTTTCAATGGCGCTCGACACCATAACATCTTAGGAATATTTTGAGGATTTTCGGTGGCTTCAGTTGGTAATACTATATATGGACCTTTTGATTTCCTTAGTCTATTCCTTCGTTGATGGAAAGTTTAGGAGAATATGGACATGGAGAGCCTATAACTCTACTTGAAGTATAGAGAAAGAAAATCCGGCCGGCCACACATAATTTTTAGCCGACTAAAGCCGGCCAAATTATTAACCTACTCCCCTTTGATTTTCAAAAGGTGCCTTGAAACCCTAATCAATATTATCATTGTAGCACCCAAGGCAAATGCTCACTTAAACAAACAGCCTGAGAGGTTGTAAGAGATGAAATTTATTCAGTTTAAATGTCCCAGCTTATAGACTTCATCTAATGGTAGAGGGTAGAGGGGGAGGGAGGGAGAGGGGGTGGTGGTGGTGGTGGGGGGATGTAGCGTATTGTTTGAGTACAAAGAGTTGGTCGGTATTTGTTATTTTCGATTAGTGAAAAAGGGGTCAAAAGGACAAAACACAACAAAAAAGCATTATAATATGGGCTTTGTGAGGTCTCATTTCCACCCACTTTGAATAGTATTATAGCAAAAAATGGAACACTTTGATGGTGTCTATTCTTATATATATATACCACACTCACTTGGGTAGTCTCTACAAGCCTCGCATTTTTATGTAACCCTTTCCAGAAAAATGCTCATTAACTGGAGATGTTGTGCCTGCATCGTACTAATGCTGCTGCTATTTTCTAGTGCTGAAACTCGGCGTCTCAGTCCGAGTCGGGAGAAGAAGAATTTAACCAGGTCGAGACAAGCATTGGCAGGAAGTGCTAGGGAACTACTAAACGTTTGGTTGAGAAAAGACGCGAACCAAACTCGTTACTACCCGAAGCGATCAAGTCCCGCAGGTCCTGATCCCAGACATCATTAAAAAAAATCAGTATCTACACTAGCGTAAGTATATTTCGGTTTTGAGTGTATTTTACATGAGTGCATGTACTCACAACCAGAAAATCTGTTGAAACCTCGAGGAACTTGTTATGATCGTTAGTTATCGATCGTGGCATGGAGAAGTTACTAGTACTGTATGTAATGATAATTCTGGTTTTTGAAATAAAAATATACCAGCAGTTGAGCAATATATTTACCTAATTTTGTTCATTATTCAGGATTTTTTTTTTAATGTAACAAGAATAGGACGGTACATCATATGTTTTTCATCAAGTGGAGGGATTTTTTTTTCTTTTTTCACATGCTCCTTTATTTGTATAATGGCATATAGCGTAATGTGCTCGTGATCTGGACACGCGGATAAATATATCTTTTTCAGTTGGAATGGTACGGAAAAGAGTAAAAGGAGTATCATTTTCCACAAAATCATGATGATGGGAAAGAAATTAAAAAAACAGAAGGGTTAGTAGTTGGATACATGATTGGCTCACATGCAACATGCACTTTTTAAGTTTTATATTGGTGAACAGAAAATGATAGCTAATGCTCTTATATTAGGAAGTGACAAGGGATAAGATAAAAATAAAACTAATGAAAAATGTTTGAAAATTTTAAGTTTTAACGATAAAGATAAAATAAAAGGTAAAGTGAATAATATTAGGATTGACATTGTAGTGTATAAATGTGATTTTTCGTTAAAGTAAACAGTACCGGAAGTTTTTCATTAAAGTTCCCTAAGATAAAATTTACTAATATATAAAAGGTATTTAGCTTTTCCCAAGTGGAATGTTTCTCTTATCCTCACATTGACTTCACATAGATTTTGAAATCACATCAGAGTTAGAAAGTGAAGGCATTAGGGTTTGATCAATGATCAAAGTCTTCTAATTTCTACATACAATTACAAAGCTTGAAGTTGAACTCGTTCTGGGTTGCAGGGTTTATCTGTTTTCTTTTTCTTTTCTCAGTCCATATGAAATGCAAGTAGGTACGCTCATATATGTTATCGTGTTCAGTAGTCATTTTTTTATTTGTGTTTATGCTTGAAGCACCTTCATATATTAAATTAAGCTGCAAGTGTTATACAGGGAAAATGCAACCATCATGTATAAATTAACAAAAGTCAAAACTCTTTTCTACTTTTAAACTATATAGTAAGTGGCCATCAATAACACACACAAAAAAAACAGCATATATATATATTTGTCCTTTTGAAGTTTGAATGCATGATACATGTGTATATGGAATCATTAATCCACTAGAAGACTTGTGGCTGAGATCAATTTGGACCTATAACGCTGTTGGCTTCAAAACGACATGTTATAACCCAAATCAGACACCAGAATTCAAATTTACAAAGTTTTCTTCTTGTTGTCAAATTTATATCTTTTAACTTGATCGACGGTCTATTCCGCAATATATGATCTACATCACATTTACAGTCTTTCTAAGACCCTTTTAAATTGCCCCAAGTACCAGCTATCAAATACATATAATGTATGCAAGCCTTCTCCTACATGGACATGCATGCATGTGCACGCCGCACATTCTTGCGTGTTACATCTGTATGGTCAAAACTCTCAGTCTCAAATGTTTAAATGCTATAACTTGTGAAACCCAAGCATGCATGGTAGGTCCGCAAGAATTTGTCATGGAGCTTAAAAGCAAAACACATATATGAACAAATTTTAAAGCTTGTGCAAAGTATATATACGAGACAGAGCTCGCGTGGAGATGGAAAGAAACCAAAACTACGAAGTCTCTGTCATGCCCCATAACAGATAGGGAAACATTAAGATTTAAGAGGAGAAAGCTTTAAGCCTCCGTTTCATTAGCTGGAGCAATTTAAGAAACGCGAAAGGGCAAACCAAAATCTCCTGAGGACAAGATTAGATTAGTGTTTATGTGCACGAGGCGTAGTCTAACCACACCATTGAGGAATCAATAGAATGCACTGGAACGTTAGCCCCCAATGCTTTTTGGTCGTTTGATGGAGGACGCCATCCCACATGTAATTATTTATGGATCAGTTTTATGGTGTTTGTTTTGTTATATTAGTTTATTGCCCAACGTTGTTCATTACGGAAGCAAGTAATTACAAAAAACAGAAAGTAAAAAAAAAAAAAAAAAAAACCCGACCAAGGCGATTCTTAAGTGCCAGTTATATTGTTAATAACGTGTAAATTTAGAACAAACTGAATATATTGCTACAAAACGGAAACTCCTACAAAAAGTTCGAGCATTGGCATTGCTGCTAATAAACAGAAACACCTAGGCCTAAGGTAAGGGTTTTGGCCCTAAACTTAAGACTAGGGCATTCCTTTTCTTGCCCTGATCATCCCTATTTTAACTCAATGGAGTCGATTTCAACTGAGTCTCACCCCATGGCTATTAACTCAAATGAAAATAATCTGAGAAAGTTGCGTAGAAAGTGTAATGCTGAAAATGGAGCGATTGATTATGTTTTATCCCTTTGAATAATAGGGTTAAAGTTGTACAATGGTTTGCAGCAAAAGGCTGCAGAGAGAACCCTCTGATCCTATCCATAGGTCACCGTTGACTGAAAATTGGATCAAGGGACAGTGTTGAAAATAAAATGAAAGCTATATTAGATTATTAGGAATTTATTACTATTGGTTATTGGAGTTTGATGGAGTTTTCATTGGTTCTAGAGACATATTTTGAGTGAATTTTCTCCAAAATTGGGAGAAGCTGAATTTGTTAAAACATAAAGTACATTTTAAAATTCTTACCAAAATTCTTTAAAATCAAATCTTAGGGTGATGTATTGTATATGAGGTTTAATGGACTTTGCTTGACTCTGATATTCAGGTATATTCAATATTACTTTTAGGGTTAATTACAAAAAACTACCTCAAGTATGGGTCAAATGACACTTTCATACCTCATCTTTTAAAATTGACAATGTCATACCTCATCTTACGAATTTGTGTCAATGTTATACCTTCCGTTAGTTTGGCCGTTTATTTCTCAGTTAAATGCTGACGTGGCTTGATCCGAGACCCATTTTTATTAAAAAATTATTAAAAACAAAAAAAATCATTTAATATTATTTAAATATTAAAATAATAATAAAAAAGTACATAAAAAAATAAAAAAAATTATCCATCATCTTCCCTCTCCTTTCGTGCATCTCCCCCCTCTCTCTTCCCCATCATCTTCCTGCAACCCAGCAACCCAGAAAAGAAGAAGGAGAAAGAAGAAGAAGAAGAGAAAAAAAAAAAAAAACCCAAACCAAACCAAACCCAGTTCATCCCCCCTCTCCCCACCACAAACTCAACCCCCTGCAACGAAAGGAGGAGGAAGAAGAAGGCAACACAA